TGATAGGAATAATCATTCAGAAATGTTTAATGATACTTTACTGAAATGCCCAAAAAAACAGTATCAGAGGAGAAGGCTGCATTGGTTCAAAAACCAACTCAGTTCAGAGAGGAAAAGAAGGCTAGAAAAAACAAAAATATATATAATACAAATGGAAGAAAAGGGATTTGGTAGAAATACATATACATCAAAAGCTAAGAGTTATAGAAAACGGACAAGGAAAGCAAAAGAACACATGGAGAAATCTATGTGATCTTTGGATGCATACCCATCAAAGCTGAGTAGGAGTGGAGAGGTTACTTTCTCTCTGTATTTTTGGCACTCGTGCTAGCACTGCTGGAATATTATATTTAGTTTTGTGTTAGATTAATAGGTGACTTGGATACAGTCTATAAGTACCCACATGGAGAGCAAATATTTGATCATGGGTTCTTTAGTCTAGCAGAGAAGGCGTAACATGATCCAATGTCTAGAAGTTGAAACTAGACAAATTCAGACTGGAAGCAAGGGTTACATTTATAAGGTTCATGGTGGATTCACCATCGCTGGTGATTTTAGATTGACGTATTTTTTTCTAAAAGATCTGCTCTGGGAATGATTTTGGGAAAGATCTGAGGGGCCTGTAGAAAGTAAAGTTAGAAGAACACAGCAGTGGCCTTGGAATCTATGAATCTATAAATGAAGCAGAACTAATTTCTGCCATGCTTCTCCTTTCCATCCAGTTTGATAAAACTGCACTTTGGGGGCCAATTCAAGCATTGCAAAGAAACAAGTATAAAATCTTTGTAACGTTTCACATGCTGGGACTCAGATGCTGTCCGACCTTCTAAGAACACAATCCCACACTACCTAGAGAACCTCCTTGTGGGCAGATGACCAGTTGGAACAGGCTGCTATCAAACTGTTTCTGACTCTAGCAGAGGACAGGAGAGGCTGAGGGATTTGGGCTTGTTTAGTCTGCAGAAGAGAAGAATAAGGGGGATTTGATAGCAGCCTTCAACTTCCTGAAAGGAGGTTCCAAAGAGGATGGAGAAAGGCTGTTCTCAGTAGTGACAAATGGCAAAACAAGGAGCAATGGTCTCAAGTTACAGTGGGGGAGGTCTAGGTTGGATATTAGGAAAAACTATTTCACTAGGAGGGTGGTGAAGCACTGGAATGGGTTACCTAGGGAGATGGTGGAATCTCCATCCCTAGAGGTTTTTAAGTCTCGGCTTGACAAAGCCCTGGTTGATTTAGTTGGGATTGGTCCTGCTTTGGGCAGGGGGCTGGACTTGATGACCTCCCAAGGTCTCTTCCAGCCCTAGGATTCTGTGACTCTAGCAGATGCCTTGTGCTTCAAAGCCCTTCAGAGTGAGTGTGGACAGTGTTCCATAATAGCACACAGCACACCCAGCCCTGGCTGAAGGCATAGCAATGGGGCAATGGTATAGCTCTAGCAGGATGGGCCAGTATCCTGCAGCCAATGCAGGCATCATGCCCAAATGGGAACAATGTTCACGTACTTGTTAGTAGTGCTGTAAAACCGTGCAGAGGGTTAGGGGACAGGAGGATCAACACTCGCAGAACATGATCATTTATTTAAAAGGGCAGTGGATGGTTCATAGACTATCCAGAGATGCATCCTATTCTGATTCAGTTTAGCCTGTGGGTCATATTTCCTAAGTGGATTTCTTCATTCATTTGTATGGTTAGTGATAGCTTCATAAAGACAGGATCATTGCTTCTTCAAGTACATTGCCTCTGGACCTGAAACAAGAATCGCAACGCTAGCCTGTTTCCATAGCAATTCACTGCAGAGTCAAAATAAGGATTTTGACTTCAACTGGGAAAATCAACAATAGAAGCAAATGCAAACAAAACCACACAGCCCTTAGCATTTATATAGTGCCTTTACAAGAGTTGCCAAGGGGGACCGTGTGATCCGACACTGAAGTACAGTAAACACAGACCTGGGCCACAGCTGCTGCAGCACACAGCATCCCTTCCCAAACCTGCTGCACTTCTGTGCAAAAGGGTATCTGTCTGGAAGGTCAGGGAGAATACAGGCAGAATTTACTCAAGCTGGAATTTAGCCAGGAGACTGATTCTTAGTAAAGTGGAATGAGATCTTTAATGGCCACAGTGATCAAGACCTCAGTTTAAATCTCATCCAACAGAGAGCACCTCCCATTGTCCCTTCTCTGACTGTTGGGGCTCAGAGGAAAAAGCACCTCCTTGCTGGGTTTCCTCAGGGTACAAATGTTCTGTGTCCACATAAGCATCAAGTAATTGGTCCAGAATATGCCTCAAAGAGCTGCAAGTTCTACAAGAACCTTTCCCCCCCAAAATCAGCAGCTCTTTAAAAAGTGAGCACCAGAAATAAAGTTACCTTCATCAACTGGCTGATTATCTTCCCAGCTCTTGATATAGTCATCCTAGTGAGGGAGAGAGAGAAGAGCTAAATCAACAGAACATACACGAACCTGATCAATGTTTAAAGATCACACTTGTCCAGGAATGTAATGACAGTGTGTGCCTTCTTCATGGCTGGGGCTCTAGCAGAGGGCCACACACGTGGTTACAAAGACAATGCAAAGATTCATATCATGTTTATTTATTCTGTGCATTCTGCATTGCTGGCAAAGGGAATTTGGTCCTCTTGGAGACCAAAAGCATTGTGCATGCGCACGCACACACGCACGCACACGCCTCTGCTAACATTCCTGACCTGTAACACACAGAACCCTGCTTGCCTCATGTCCATGGAGCTCTGCAGATCCACTGCTCAAGAGTGTGCTCACAGAACTGCACAGCTGGGCAATGCAGAGGAACGGCAAGATGTGCATGCTCATGCCCTCGACATCAAAGCCCAGCTGCTAAATCCAATTCCAGGATTGCACTTGCCATGGTCGTTGGTGTATGCATGTAATGTGAACCCCACAAATAGGAAACCTGAAGAACAGAACTTCTCTCATTGCCAAGATGTGCAAATTTTGTTTTAGCACCTGGGAGGCAGAAGTTGCCTGCAAATGGGGGTTGTGGTGAAGCATTCAGTGAAGACCTGCAGAGTATCTGCATTTTCCCCATTCACCTAGTGCATTTCCACAAACATATTCAACAGGGGGCATCTACAGTTTAGAACACTGGAGACTTGCTGCCCTAATCTCCTTTGTGCAGGGGCATGCACACTTCTGCAGCAGTACACTGCTTGCTGCCACAGCATCACTGCACTGCAAGGGGCCATCGGGTCATGGCTTGGAGGTGGCAGGAAAAGTGATCTGCCTCTCAGATGCTGGCACAGCTGTTGAAATGTCAGCATACTGGCTGGCTATGCACTATATCCTCTTTCTTAAGGAGCTGAACGTTTCCTTGAGAAGGAAAAACACAAGTCCTTTGTCTCGGACTCCCTCATCCTGAAAAATGATTGATCATTTATAATGGCTCGGCACAGAGGTCCCTCACTGCTTCTCCACACTCCTCAGCCCATCCGTGACAGCAACCTCCATACACACCAAACGAAAGGGCAGGAGTAGACTCTTTCCACAGATTGTAAGTAACTCTATTGTTCAGGTGAAGAAATGGAGAATAAGAGATAAAAGTCAAATGTGCAATTTAAAAAAAAGAAAATTAAAGGAATTAAGCCAGATCCAGTGGGTCTAAAGTTCATGTTTTGTGAATTGCAAAGCATAGGGCAGAGAGCTCAAGTGACTTGCCTAGTGACTCACAGCAAGTCAGAAGTTCTTGGAACAGAACCCAGGAGTCCTCACCAGGAGCACCACTTGGAGCGGTGGGGTGTGCCTGTGCTTGGTGAAGGGGGAACAGGCCTTACCAGATTACCTGAGTCTCAAAGTGAAAATGCTGGGCAGGGAGGATGCGTTTTTGCACCATCCCTCTAATCAGCATCAGTGCTCTCTGGTGGCCAGACGTGGCTCTTCAGGCTGGACAGGCGCCTGGGGCTGAGCCAGCCTGGCCCTGCCTCATACCACCTCAGACATGATTACCAGGAAGTTCTGGCAGAGTTCAGGCTCCTGGCGAGGCCTGCATAGGCTGCACAGTTTTAAAAAAGGCCTGGGAGTGGCAACACTGTTTCCAAAACCAGCACTACCCCTCCTAGAACCGGCACCTCCAGAGCCAGCTTCGGAGTATTCCCCTCCCTCACAGGCAGTGTGTGGGAGCCCAATAGAGGCAGTGCCATCCCTGATGACTGGCAGTGGAACAAAGACCTGCTGGCTCAGTACGGACTGTCTGCTGCGGAAGAAAATTTTACCTGTGCCAGGACTGAAGAGGCTTTTCCCCCTGCCTTGTGGTGCCCCTGCTCTAACCACACTGCTCTCCCTGCTGTGAAAAGCTTAAACCTCTCAAACCTCCCCTTTTTTGTCAAGAGTCTCCACATTTGGAAGGTTACCCACAGTTAACAGCCCCACCACAATCACTGGAGCAGTTCTCTTTTAACAACGGTAAACAATAGGTGGCCCGTGGCCCGAATCCACACCCTCCAATGCTTTTGAATAGACTTCAAAATCTTTTTATTTATTACCATTATTATTGTTTTTGTATTATTTTCTCTGGAAACTGGATGTTGGCTATACCTTGAACAAGAAATTTGGACTTTGACAAAAATAATTGATTACCCTTGGCTTTTATGCGTTTTATACACAGAATCAAAGGCAGAGAATAAAAAAAATTAAGAGAAGGGAGGGGGTTAACAGTAAAAATTTCGGGATGTTAAGGAGTGGGTATTTCACTAGTAGTGTAGTCGATAACATTTTTATCGACTACACAATTAGCTGATAAGGAAAAGTGCTCAGTCCTGGCTCGCGCTGGGTCTGGGAGCTACCCCCACTGCATCTCTGCAGTTTAAATGTAATAAAAGCCGGAGGGCAGGCATTTAAACTGCAGAGCTGCAGCGGGGGTAGGTCCTGGACCCAGTGCGAGCCAAGACTAAACCGGGCTTACTCAGTCCCAGCTCGTGCTGGGACCTCTGGCGGACAGGGACTGCTACCACAGCAGCCTGGGCCTGCTGTGGGCCGAGGCTGCTTTGAGGCAGCTTCCACTTGCCCCCTTGCCCTTCCCTCCCCACGCACACACTACTGCCTCTGATAGAGGCAGCAGCACAGAGCGGGACAAGCAGCACCGCTGAGAAAGTGCTGGTGGGAACTGGCTTTTAAGCCGGCTCCCCCCAGCACCAGCTCCTGCTTCCACCACTTGCTGCCTCATATCAGAGACAGCAACAGGGGAGGGGAGAAATATGAATAGTCAACTCAACTACTTGCTTACATCCCTAAAATGAATCCAGGCTCTGGAGGAGTGTACAGATATGCAGTTCATTTCAAGATCCATGCTAGAACAGGCTTCTCCTTGCAAGTTTCTTACTTTTGCAATCCATGAACAAACATTCTTATAACTCTCTGAAGTGCCCTGATAGCCTGTGTTAATTTATAGCAGATAACATGCCCCATGCCCTTTGAACAATAATGTTATTGACGATCTTCTCCAGAAAGGAAATTCAGATGCTGATACTAGGGGCTTGCTGCCTTGCAGAAATCTCTTCCTTGAGAGGTCTGTCTTGAACTGTCTGGGCTTATTTACGTTATTAACAATTTGAGGCAGGAATGGGGTCTTCGTAGACTTTCATACTATGATAGGTCGATGCTTAACATATAACCACCACCGTCTCTGATAAACACTGGCTCTATTCCTCTAGCTTGTGGCAATGACTATGTACACAGTGCCTCAAGATGAAATTCATCACTGCACAGAGGGCCATAATGAGGCTTGTGCATCATTTCATCCCCATTTAAAGTGCCCCCTGCATGGGGGTCAGTATGAGTATGGAAGCATGTACTGGCACACACTCACATATGTCCACACAGCCACAGAGAGAGCCTAGTGCAGATACAAAATCTGTATCCGCATCCGATCCATGATCCACAAAAATGGTTCACGGATCTCTGTGGATTTGCATGGCTCTACGCATATACACTCACTCTGGCCATACTTCATGTAACATGCAACTGTTCAAATTAACTCAAAATATTCTCCTGATAAACTAAAACTGGAGGGAGGGAGAACACAGGGAAGATGACACAGATGCCATGTAAAGATTAAATTGAAACCAGATTTAAAAAGAAAAATCAATACTAACCTCCACCTCCTGGGAATGCAGCCCACAGCAGAAGGGTAGGAGAAAAAACAAAAGGGGAGAGAGAAAAGAACACACATGAAATATACCGACATTGCCAGAACTCAGGCTGCAAGCAAGGGCTGGATCTGTGATCACACAGACGGTATTTCTTTGTTTAAATTCCCTGAAATGTCATAATTCATTTCCGCCAAGTGATGTGTTTTTATAAAGACTCCCCCAGTGCATCTTTTCTTGCTTTCCTAATTTGCATTTATCAAGTCATACTTCTGTCACAATGGCAACAATGGAATTTGATTGCAAGGGGCAAAAAATAAGGCAAATGCTGATAATTCAGGGCTTTGTGTAAGCTGCAGTACTGCTCCCAACACTTCTTGGTTAGCCCTGGGACAGAAACAGTGATGTCTCAGCTGATGGATGTAATGTTTCAGACAGCAGAGTTCAGAGTAATACAAGCACCTTTGAATTGTTCTGCAATCTCTTCAATAAAACTTTAACCAAAAAATGATGGTTTATTTGCAGCAATGAAATCCTGACTGCTCTCTTGTTAGCCAACTCCCTTCTCCTATACCCAGGAAGGGACATTTTAGAGCATGGGAGGGAGGAGGGAACAGTATCATTTGAGGTTTGGAAGTGACCAATATTGTATTGCAAAAGACTTTACTGATTTACGCCAAAGTACTGCTGCCCCAGGATGTTATTTGGCTCCTGGTGAAATGGATGTCCCTGCCCCTTTGGTCCCAGCTGTTCCCTTCAGTTCACCATCCACAGCTCTAGTGTTAATCTTCCTTTCTGACATATCCAGATGTTCCCTTCAGTTCACCATCCACAGCTCTAGTGTTAATCTTCCTTTCTGACATATCAAAACCCCAGCCACACCACATGCCATATCGGCAGCTGCTGCTCAGCTCTGGAGAAGAGCTGGCTCCTATGCAGGCTTCACATTTGTTCCAAAGAAAGCCAAGAGAATTCCAACATTTCTACACTATGTACTTGGGGGATGCTCCCCTCTCACAGAGCCTCCGAGCAAGGGGCCGATCCTAGAGAAGCTCGTGCTAATGTACTTGGCCAGGGCTGAGGAAACTGAGGCTGTGCTAAGCCAGGGTGTCCTGCAATTCCAGCCTTTGAAGATTCGCAGACTGGCAACAACATATTCCCTAGATGCAACTATCCGTCAGCTGTTTCTAAAGGAGAGATTAGGTGTAGGTCCTTTGCTCAGCCCATCTCAGGGACACACACATCCCTAGTGAGCCATGAACCACCACACAGGTATATCACACAGGCCACTTCCTGAGCTGCCCTCATGTCGAATGATGCAGTTGGGCCCTTCAAGAATACTGTAGCTATCAGGAGCAGGCTGTCACGTAGGGCTTCTCATTACTGCTTCAAACCCCAGATCCAGGGGTTTTGCCAGGCAAACTGGCAAATGTCTATCACAGCCACCAAGTGCTTCCCTTCCCCCTACACAGTGCTCCCTTAATGTCTGTCTGGCCAAGTCAGCCCTGCTATTTTCCCCACCGCTTGAAGGGTCTAATATATTGTGATAAGACCTGGAAGAACTCAGTATAAAATTCAGGTGCTATATAAGTCAGCTTTGTGCAGTGCAAGGCTCACAAATGCTTGCATCACATACATTTTGAACTGTTTTATTT